GCACCCAAGTGAGTGTGTGGTTCTATGTTCATTCTCTTTAAGGGCCTGTCCTAGATAGATCAACATACAAAACCTCCACATTAATCAAGTCAAGCTAGTCCTCCATAAGGGGACATTAAACACTCTTCCTAAATATTACATACTGAAAAGTAATTATGATGACAAATACCCACATTGTATTTTCTCTCAGGTCCAACCCCAAATAATCTTCAGGAGGCAACAGTGAAACTTATTGACTCAGACACTTGCAACAGAGAAGAAGTGTATGATGGGGATATTACACCCAGGATGTTGTGTGCAGGATACCTGGAAGGAGGAGTAGATGCTTGTCAGGTAATTGTAGCAGAAAATGAGAAAGGAAAACTATTTTAATGCTGACTGCAGTATCCGGCTGACCACATTTTAATGGACAGTGCATTAGTCCTTTAAATAGGCTCCATTCAAACAGGAATTAAGTTGTATAGTGAAATAGAGCATTTGGTCCACATCATTTAGCASTAAATGCTGTTTTACTAATTATGAGCTAAAAATTAAAYRTCTCAAGTAGCTAACACCAGACACSTGTAGAGATGAGAAGRAAGAAGATTAASAATGTTAAGGYACCAGCAAAAATGCACTAKCATTTGATAAAATGAAATTCTGGACTGGATCATAACAGATCCRTTACAATGTGATCTTTGGTAACAGACTTGGCTCAGTGAAAGGAAAACTGTCTGAAACAAAGATAACTATAAGGAAGGTAGGTGTAAAAGAATGAGAAGCAAACATGCGTGCTGCAGGTTTGCAAACGCTGCAAAGAAATGCTTCTGCTCAAAGAAAGATATTTCCATAGTGATAAGTTTTAGAAACATAATTTCTATTTATGTTATTTTCAAAGATTGTACCCTTTATGTGCTGGTTCAATTCAGACCCTTTTCTGAATCCCAGTTCTACAGATTTTTGCCCAAAGACAAACTTCCTGCAGAATAAGCCAGGGAAGCTCATTCCTCTGCTCCTGGCTCAGCGCTGAAGACACCTAAGCAGAAGGGTGCAACTGCTGTTTAATTCAGTAAATAATTTTGGTGTAAGTTGGGGCATTTGGTCTGTTGTGTGAGGATTGCCTCTCAGTCTGTWAGGTTTCTAGTTTAACTATAATTACCATGTCATGCTATTAATGGTATCTGAATTCTGGCTTGGAAAGTGGATAACATCTTAAAGAGCTATTATCCAACTAGAAGACCAAGTTTTGATGAAAGCTCCTAAAAAAAAAGTAGCTTTAGGCTACTTTTTGAAACTTTTTTTCTGCAAATGACTAAAATTATTTATTTTAAGAATAGCAATTACAGTTAAAAAAAAGTTCCTACTGGCTTAGATTGCTGTCTATACTTGTGTTTCCTTAGTCTGTACAAGGAAAAAGACAAGGCAGGTGGGAAGCAGTGTTTCGCAAAACAGAGGAGAAGCTTTTTGTTGGCTTTTTTTACTGTAATACTATATAAAACAGAGGTCAGAAGGTCCTGTGGCAAACAGAAAAATGCCACAGACTTCTGATTCAAGTTTCAGATACAGCCTGGATTCTGCACAAATGGCATCTCTTAAAATACTGCTTGTTTACTTCCTTTATTGGATAGACCCTCCTGTCTGTGGAGAAAATGGTATTTTCTGATCAATGAAATATTTTTTCCCCCTCCTCTTTTTCTAGGGGGACTCTGGGGGACCACTGGTTACKCCAGACTCTAGACTGATGTGGTACCTCGTGGGAATAGTGAGCTGGGGAGATGAATGTGCCAAACCAAATAAACCTGGAGTTTACACACGAGTGACTTATTTCCGTGACTGGATTACCACAAAAACGGGAATCTAATTCAGGAGTAAAAAATGGATTTAACTACATAGACTACATGTAACTCATATTTGTCTGTAATTCTGAAAGGCTATTTTTTTAGTATATACATGCCTATGTAATTTTGGTTGAAGCAACCTTAGCCCACAGCAAGCACTATCTTTGCTGTCAGAGATCCTAACCCTTCTGAATWCATGCTAAATGTATGAAATTGCCTGCATCATCTTTGAGCCATGAAACTTTTTCCCTTACCAGAAATTATGAACAGACATCATTAAAATTATATTTAAAATCTACAAATTTACCTGCTTTATAAATGAATGCAAACATTTTGCAGGAGAAAAAAAAAAAAGGGAATTTTTCTTTATCCATGGGCAAGGTCTGCAGCTGAATCTTCCTCCTCCAGTGAAGCAAATGCTGTCACAGCTGTGTTTCTAGCAAAGTGGACCCTTGATGATTATTCTTGTTAGAGACTATCATCTGCACTGACTTCAGCTGAGAACCTGGATGCTCACCTTGCTCTGTGGCCTTGGTAAGTTACAGTGGATCAGCACGACTGAGGGTAGGTCCTAGCGAAGGAAAAGCAGGACTTTTGTGCTTGCAGTAGGCTGGAAGAGGAAAGAGAAAAGCTTGATGTTCTTATTGCAAAGCACATTTTAAACTGGATTTTTTTTGTGGATTCTGCGAAGTTCAAGTTGCTTGAAGTTGCTGCTGTGGAAGTGCTTTTATCACAACATTCTGCTGCTACCTCTGTACGTGTTGGCTTCTAGATCTACTCTGCTCCACATACAGTATGCTTAAGATGCAGAAACACAAGCTCTACCCAAACTGGTTTTGTAAAAAGAGTGACCCCATGAGCAATCTGCCCCCCAAAAAACACGGCATTTAATTTTTTTCTAAAYGAAAAATAAATGTTCACCACAAATGAACTGGGAACTACCTTTTTTGTTCAAGAAACAGCCTGCTTTTCCAAAGGCATACCAGCCAGCARAAACCACCTCACTGCAAGAAAGCAATTACTGATACTTCACTGATGGATTCAYCTGCCATGAATGAATATAATCCTGACTATGAATATGTCTTATGAGGATAAAGAGTAATTTCATCTTAAAGAACAGTCCCGATAAGAATTTCAGAATAAATGCAATCCTTACACATTGATGAAGCCCTTTTCCTAATTCTGTGCACAACCTCTCATGGATAGCTGGTGGAAGGGAGTCCTCTAGAGCCAAGGCCTTCAATATGGGGATCCAAAATGTCACTTGAGTACTGTCACCTGCCATCTCGAATGGCCACTGCACTGCTTAGGCTGTGARTGCAGGACTCACAGAACTGTGTACRAGACATGAATGAAACTGCCAAGTCCTACAGCTGCACCTACTACAGATGAAAATATTGCTGAAGCATCTTGCCTCCCCCACTGCTCAGGACTGGATCTCTCCTCAGCCTTCCTACTGTGCAAGTTCTCCAATAATCAGCATCCCTGGGAACRAGATGTTTGGCATTTCTTGGAAACTCACACCCTGAATTACAAGTCTACATATGGATGGAAAAACCTGTGTTTAAGCCTTAGTGGCATAGGAAGGGGTTGTCTTGTTATTGGGCTACTTCCAGTCATTCTGTATATCTTTTGAACTTTGGTAAAAAATAAGTTGTCTTATCTCAGAAAGAAATCTACTGAAGATTTTAGAGTAGTTTTGGTTTTGAAATAGTAGTAACTTTATTCTGATTTTCCATGTCATAGTAAAAAGAAAAGGTTCTTGGGATAGTTAGGAGGATAGTTAGATGCAGCAAATCCATTTCCTTAATTTATTGACGAAGTTCGTTATTTATGCACTTTGAGTTGCTGCTAWTTTTCAGTTAAGAATTTACTCTGTGTTGGGTTCACTTACACAACAGAAGCTTCATGGAGCTTTGAATTAGATAATCTGAAAACACTGTTTTCTTCCAGTGCTCAAGTCCCCTTTTCTCAAAGGCATCCTTTGGGGAATAAAAAAAATACATCTAGTTTTTTGTGCCTCTGAAGGTGAAAATCATGAGAAGTGTCCTTTACAATCAGCTGTTGAATTGTGATTGAAAATAAACAGTAGTTCACTTTCATARATAGATAAGGCTTTGTTTTGCACTTAAATCTATCCTTTTGCATAGCAAATGGAGGGGCAACAATAAGGAGGTGAGGCCCAGATACAGCCCCTAGAAACTGGTTCCTACCTCACACTGCAAGTGACTTCTACATGCAATATCTTTAAAATCAGACAGGCACCCTTTATTTCAGATTTTCTTGTGAGTGGCTAAATAGCCAAGAGGTGTGTGGGAGAAYGTCTACTTTACTCAGGGAGTCCTGAGCCAGCCAGATGCACTTTTCATAAACTTTTTAGCAAACTGTCTGGCCTGGGTTTGTCTTATATTCTATGTCAGTGTTTTATTTATGATGACTCTGTTTTCTGCCTTGGAATAAAGCAATGAGAACATTGTGTGATTAAAGAAAAGGTTTTTTAAAGCCTTTTATTATTGTTGATGATAAGATTTAGCAAGGTTTTAAAGAAAATAAAGGCAGTGTGTTTCATAACATTAAATGTATTTAAAAACAATGGATCTTTTCCTGTGCTATTTATTTTTGCATAATAAGAATCAAGCTAAAATCTGAATATGACACAAAATAGACTTATTTAATTCTTCCTTATTTTATATAAAGCTATTCTAAAACTACAGCATTCTGTCCATTCCCCGTCCTTGGAATTGTTTTGTTATTAACAGTGATTGAACTTTACAGGTGTTCCAGCAAAGATAAAGTGGCACATTTGCTTCTCTAAAATACTCAGAGGTGCATTTCAGGTAAGACAGTGCTAAGCAAATTTGAGAATAGAGCTGAAGCTTCATTCCAGAATTCACTACCTTSCTTCTGCCTTTGGAAAAAACCCTGCGTGTGATGTTGCATCCCTGCAAACTGGCTATGGGGAGCTATATGCAGCTGCTATCAATTCTCCTAAGATTTCCCAGGTAGATTTAAAGCATCAAGAAATGTGTTCCAAACCTCTGGTTAATCAAATTGAGTTGTCTGGGGCTTGCCCGATGCTGATGTTCAGCTTGGAGCCAAAGTAGGAAAGAAAGAAGAGGCTGATTGCACAAGGTCTATCATGTGAGGCGGTCTGGTTGAATGACATCAATGTGTCATCAGGATTCCTTATGTAAGTAGAGCTTGTAGAAAATCCCATTCTTTATCTGCTATTCCTGTTAACAAATTAGATGAGCTGAGAGCCAAAAGTCATTATTTAACCCAATGAATGTTAATCTGGCAATTTGCAGCCTGGAAAAGCTGGCTCTTGCTTTTGGAAATGCATTCATACACATCTCAGTGTGAAATCAGCTTAGGTAATTGGTGCCCTTGTTTATCTGGATTTATCAACATTATTAACATGGTTTCTAGGAAGGTGTCACTTGCTAGAGGAGCTTTAAGTGGCAAGTTCCTTCAGCCCACCCTGCTGGGAAGCTGGAGTTCTTTTAAATACACCATCAAAACACTGCTACACTGCATGGGTTGCCAAAAAGGGGAGACAAAGCCTTGCCAGTCAGCACCTTGCTCCTGGAAGAGCTGAGGGCAAGCCATAGCCTATGGCAGGATGTTTGGAAWCTCACTGAAGGATGTTGAAGTCCATTTATGGTAACTTCTGCACTGGTCTGTGTGCTAAACTGAACAGTGTTTGCCTTCGCATTTTCAAATAACACATTTTTAGGGAAAAAAACCCAAGAGTTTTGTCTGCTAATTGGCTCTTGAACTAAATCAATCAGGGAAACAAATGTACCTCTCCAAGTCCCCACTTTGGAGTTCCCATTAAGATGAAACGATGCCTGGAAACCAGGAAATCAAAAGACTAAAAAAACACCCCAAGTGGTTTGGATTTTCCCAGCAGATGGAAAGGAGATTTACAGCTATTTCAGCTTCAGCTCCTTATGAAAATACTGGCTCCAAAGATGTATTCAATATCTGGATGCAAAATGAATTTACAGTGGAGCACATAAACTGAAATTACAGAGATCTGGGACATGAGTAGGCTCAAGCCCGGSGCTGGTGATGTTCTCCTGGCCACAGCCTCATCACACTCATTCCTTCAGCARGTCTGTAAACTGACAGCTCTGCTTCCTACCTTTTGCCAGTCTCAAAAGCCATAGTTACCATAATGCAAATATGGAGCTGGGATTTCTTTTAAAAGTAATTTATTTAACCAAATTTACTAAGATTGTAATGTTATATGTTGTTTTTAAGAAGAAGGCTATAGGGGAAAAGAAAAGATCAAATGAATCCAGATGTTTCAAATTTTGCAGTCTTAAATAGGCAGCGGAAAACCTGTATGTTTTTTGATTTGGTACCATCAGCCTGGAGGGTTTCTGAGTACACTTACTCACTGATGCATTTGGGAACCCATTTCTTTGGCTTCTGGGGTAAACAGAATCTGTCCATTTCTTTGTGGCATTTTATCTTAGAAAGCCCCTATTCATGGTTTCACTGATGGTTACTCTCTGCCTGGTTACTTTAAAGGGGTTATGTGAGAATTAACTGGCTGCTGCTGTTTCCCCACTTAGGAAAAAGGCTTCTCAGWATTTGCTGTGACTCTGCAAAATCTGTTTCATGTGAGATGACGGTATCGAAGTGGAGTGGTGTCTTGAAAAATGTAATGACCTGGACAGAAAGATGGTAGGTAGAGGATTTTTTTATTACCACTATTTTTCATAACACATTTGGTGAGTAAGCTCTTGAAAATAAGAATGGTTAACATAAAAATAAATAAAAAGAAAAAAAGATAAAGGGTTTATTTTTTCTACGGGAAGAAACCACAAATATAAAGGTAAAAATCACTGACAAGACTAAAAATTATGAAAGTGACAAAACTGAAGCTGACTTTTTTTGCTGTCGTTAAACTTCGTCCCCCTGCCTTTATCACTGGGACTCCTGTTAATTCCGTTCACTAGATACATGCACTGCTCTTTGAAATGCCTATATATTGAAATAATGGAAGTAATTCTTTTATTTTCTGGTTTTTATGTATTACGTGAAAAAGCTACAAAGAAAATACCAACCTTAGGATCAATTCCTTTACTGGTGAGGGTTGCAATGTACACCCTGAACGGCTTTCTCCCTTTATCCCGAGTCTCAGTTGGGCATTCCAGACTTCTAGTGGCCTCTAGTGGTTCTCTGAAATTTGCCCACATCTTCTCCAGTTATCCCTGCGTGTGAAAACAGCAGTGTAGCAGAAGAGAATCTTCACCCTGATCCTGCCAGAGCATAGCCCACGTTTGAACGAGCACAATGTAGTCCAGCTGCTCTTAATCTTTGTTACTAGTTAAGTACAAAGGCTGTGTGCTCTGTTGGACTCAGGTGGAAATCTTGAGGGTTGCTAGAAGTCTGTTAGAGAAATGCCAAAATAATGCACTGGTTGCTTACAAAGAGGACAAAACTTGGGTCTTCTTGCCCTAGAAGTTCACAAAACCCTAATCAAAATAGACAAAAAGCTTGGGTTTTGGTTTTTTGTTGTTGTTGTTGTTTGTTTGGGCTTTTCCTTGTGTGCTGTAGGATGCATGTAGTTGGTTGCTCTATTTTGAGGGTTTTTTAAAARCTATAAATATTTTAAAATACAAGGGGTAGTGATTATTCTGTATACATTGTATGCAAGGACACTTCAGTGCTTGAATCCCTCCCATTCTAGACAAGATGTGCTAATGGTATCAAGAACGATATAAGSTCATCTCATCTACTCTGCGAATCAGGTGTAACGAAAGGGAACGCAGGGCTCAAAGTGAAGTGAGATTAAACTGGATGATGGGAAGGCGGGCAGTGCTGGGATTTAAATCAAGAATTTGGGAAATGGGAGACAAAATATTGATAGGAGGAGATGTTGGGTTTTGGGAGTGGTGCGGAGTTGGTGGTGGAGGTGGCGCAGTGGATGCCATRGCTTGCTCTTCTGCTTAATCACCACCAAAACAAGAAAAGGTTTCCACAAGCCTCCGTACCACCTTGGCACGGGCTGTATTTTGGTTTGGATGGCTCTTTGCCAAATCTCCTCGACGGCCTTGGCTACTCTTTAGCACTTGGCAGTCGGCTCCCTAGCCSCTCTGATGACATTTTACCTGTTGGKGTGGTAGGTGACATCCTGCTGGGRCTCTCCTGCGAGATGCGGGAGCAGGTACCGCAAGAGCGGGACCCGGAAGCGCTCTGCAATGTCTAAAGTGGTGATGCTTGTACCTAAGGAGGATTTATTCATTTCATTATTTTTAACCGCACCGTGTGTTACTTTTCGGGCAGAAAATGGCGGGGCTTATCAATGGCTTAAGCGGCTTCGCKGCCTGCGCAGCCCCTTCCGCTGCCATAGCGCGGCGGACCCGCCTCTCCGGGGCGGCCCCGGCCCGGCCCGGCCCCTCATGTCGGCGCAGGCGGGGAAGCGCCCCGGCACCGGCGCTGCCGCTTCCCACCCCCTTCCTGCCTCTTCCCCGCCGCCGCCGGCCGCGCTCGGGCCTGGATCGCCACGCCAAGGCCGCCGCGGGGTGAGGAGAGCGGGCGGCGCCGGGGCCGGGGGGCGGGCGGGGCGCGGCGAGCCCGGGGTGGCGGTGCCGGGATCTCCAGAGAGCCGCGGCGGCGAGGGGCGGCTGCAGCCGCCGGGCTGGGCTGCGATCGGCTCGGGGTAATTTCGCGGAAGCCCCTGGGCTCTGTCGGGGTTCCCGGCTGCAGATTGGAGCTGTCGGCGTTCCCGCATTAGCCCGGCTGGGCAGTAGCTGGGTCTGAGCCTCCTCTCTCTTGTCTCTTTCCCTCTCCCCGTCTCCGCCGGCGGAACAGGGAGCCAGCATCGACTGGGATCAGCCGCTGGAATCCCTGGGTAGGTGGGATGAGTCCAGGCCTCCCTGCCATCCCCGTGTGCTGAACAGCAAGTACTCACCAGTGCTTCAGCTTGGAGGTGAGAGCGCTGTGAAAGCAGCGCACCGCTACAGCTCCTGTGCCTTTGCTGCTCTTCAGAGCATCTTGGTAACATGTACCTTCTCGGTTTGTCCCTGGGTTGTGTTATGCAAACAGCTGAAGCTTTAAAAGATAAAAGACATCATTTAAACGGTTAAGTACAAGGCTGGCATAAAAACTGGTAGTGTTGGTTTTTAAAAGGAGATGGGAAAATGTATACATGTTTATTGAATCTCTGGTCATCTTCGAATGACTTTTTTACATACATTTCTTTGAAACAGATTCAATATCCGTTAAAGTAAATGGAAGAATAACTTGGATGCAGGAATACATTAACCAAGTTTGTCCTGCTTGACAAYAGTGTCATTATTCCTCATTGTGGAAGTAGGTTTTTGCTCTACCTGAYGGATGCACTGGAAGCACCTCAGTGCTGTAACTGTGAATGCAGGAGGAGAATGGGGAATTAAAAAATGTATTGGAAGAGCCACTGTCAAATGAGTCTGTGAAACGATGGTGAAGGTTCTCTTGTTGGTTGATCACAAAACYTGGTTGTTTATAAAAGACTTTTTGGGAGGGCATGCAGATTGAAATGGCTGTCAGCAACCACAGCWGTGGAAACTGGGCCTTATTATTCTGGGATGGATCACCTTCCCCACCTTAGTGCCACAGTGCTTTTATGTTGTGTAGTCCCAGAGTGCCAGTGCTGTTCGTCGAGAGTGATTGTGGTGGAACAGAACAGCTCTGGAGTTACTGCTCTTCCCTGTTATGAGGTGATGCTGGCTTGCTTTGAGGGGGACTTCCAGTACTGAGGGGGACTTCAGGCAGTAAAAGGGTCATTGCTTGTGTTCAGCCTTTGTGGTGTAARGGCAGGGGAGCTGCACTGAAGTGACTGGTGGTGTAGGCTGTGATGGAGCTGCCTCATGTTGACTGCCTTGTGTGCTGGCTCAAGGGCAGGAGTTGGTATCCTCACTGTGGAAGAGCTTAGTTGATGAGATTCGTGGCCTGCATCCAATATAACTCTGTCCCTTGCTGTGCTATTTCAATGCTTTCTAAAAACCAAAAGGACAAATTTTGGGTCAGAATGTTGCAGTCTCCACACTGTGATGGACTGCAGGTGCCTTGCCTCAGAAATGTTAAAATGTTTGGCAGAGTCACCTGAATAGTAGTTATGCTTGGGGCAGGTTTGAAAGCTATTTTAKGATGTATCTTTGCTCTCGTATAAAAAAAAAAAAGTCCTAAAAAAAAGTATGTCTGGGCTACTTTACAGTGTGTCTTACTTTTCAGTCTTTTAAGAGAGAGGGTTGTTAGCTGTATGTAGTTTCCAAGGCAGTTTTGTGTAGAAAGCTGAAATAAGATGTGTGACGTGGAATATTGATTCCTATCACTGCTACAAAAGTACATACAGGCTCTGTTTTGCTCCTGCTGTGTTCGGTGGCAGTCACCTGCCAGGTTCAGGAAGCACCAGTTCCCAGAGTGCATAAGAAATAAGGTGCCCAAGGGCAGTTTGTTCCTGATCCTGGTGCTTAGTTATCACCAACTTAACAATGAAAACATCCTTGTTAATGGCTGAAGGCCTTAATAGCACAAATTACGGTTTTTTTTCTTACAATCCTATCAAACTGTCTTAACTGCTTGTCTTAGTTAAATGTTGCAGTAATTCAGAGCTTTGAGTGTTGGTTTCTTCAGTTAGCTAAAACAGCAACTTATTTCCAAAGGATTTTCGATGAACATAGAAATAATGCAGCATAAATGCCTATTTCTAGCTATTCAAGGATCTTCTATCTTCTCTTCAGAACAACCCACTGATCAGGTAGATCCAAGTTGATCAGCTTGGAGCTATTTATATGAAAGGAAGTTGCTCTTTTAGTAAATCTGGCTGTGGCAAATATAAGAAATTAAGTCTTGCATTTTCTCAGTCTGTATTTTGAAAGCATTTATTGGGGGTTCTTGTCTTCTGGTTCATGTGTGTTTTCATTACCTAAGTGCTATGGTGTTCTACAGTTTTTTTAATGGTCAAAGTGATTCCTGTGTAGCATCACTTTTTTTGTTGTTCAGTTTTTTTAATGAAGAACCGAGTGGGGCAGGATGGGGGTGCCAACTTTAAAATTGCATCCAATGTAACCAGCTAATTTMTTTTTGTGACCCTTCTAGGGTAAACAAATCACATTGAATCATGGCTGCAGACTCTATGGAAATTGATGATGCTTTGTATAGGTAAGGTTGTCTGATTTTTAGGCATTGCCCCTGACTTTTCAGGAGCACCTACATTTACATGCAGTAATGTGGTAATTTCACTCATCCCTCTGCCTTTGCTGTGCTTCTCAGTCCTCATAAACACAATCAATATCTCTGTTACYCTCCTGACCTCAGGGTGTTGGATTCTGAGGGGTTTTTGTAGATTTTTTTAAAAATTATTTGTTTTGGTTTAGTTTTGTTTTAATTTGTTAGCTGATCTTGACATCACTTGGCATGGCAATAGTTCAGAGAGCCTCTACTGGGACAAATGGTCCCTGTAAAAGTGTGGTGGGATGAAAAGCTTCTTTGTATATCAAAAAATAAAAAATAATTTTAAAAAATGCTTTTATGCGGAACAAGTTAGGCTTCTTTCAGTGCAATGCTTCTGATGTTGTGTCACTTTTTAGCAGTAGCCTCATGGAAGTCATTAATTTCCTTGGTTGAACAGGTGATGTTTAGAATGGTATAGGTTTAATTGTGGAGTTGGAAGTTAGGACTATTTCAGWTTTCAGGATCTAACACAAAAGCTGTGTTGCTCTCTGTTTTGAAGATTTCTAATAACAAAGAAATTTTGTGTCTTTAACAGTTAATTCCAAAAACTTGTTTATCCTAAAGAAGTTTTGCACTTATTTAAAATTATAATTTACTTATATTTATAACCTGGCACTGACAAGACCTGTACAAAATGTATTTCACTATATGGATTGTGAGTACAAATCTTATGTTTGATTGATAAGCATTTCAATTTTTAAATACTTTTTCATGACTGGTAATTCTTGACTTGCTTTAGTATGCTCTTGACTTTTTTTGTATCTTSTTTTGATCTGAATTTCTCTTTGCTGTAGTCGCCAGAGGTATGTTCTTGGAGACACAGCCATGCAGAAGATGGCTCAGTCCCACGTGTTCCTGAGTGGTATTGGTGGCCTTGGTGTGGAGATTGGTAAGTTGAGTAACGTTTATTGAAGGAGACACAAGTGTGTATAAACATACTACCCCAGAATACTTGTAAACCTTAAATTTAAATATAACAATCATGGCTGAACAATCTGAGTGAATTTCTTTGTGCATGGTGTGTATGACTAACATTGCAGATGCATGAAAGATCCTGGATTTAAGTTCTCATTTAACTAGAACAACATTGCAAATTTTGTTTCAAAGTATGCTTCCATGGGCTGGATTGCTTTACCCTAACCTTGTGTCCTGGGTGAAGGTTTAGGGTGGATAATCCAGATTACTCTTTAGGCATCAGTATCGATGAATGTAATATAGGAGCAGTTATAGCTCAAATTATTTCCATGTAGGAAATGGGAGGGTGTGTAGGAGAACAGAATAATTGGTGAAAATGCATAACTACCCTGATACAAAGGAGTCTTTAACAATTTCCCTTTCTCTTTATGAGCAAGACTTGTTTTGGCTGGTTCTTGCCTGGGATATTCAGTTGGCTGTAATGGCTCTCTGCACCAGATGCCAGAACAGTCATGGGGTTTTGTGGTTTATTATCATTAGTATCTCTGTAATCACAATTGTGGGATGAACAGCTGACAAATGACAAATGTAGACAGCTTTTTTAAGCTTACTTATGTTATTTTGCTTTCAGTGGTGCTGTAGAATGCTTGAGCCAAATGTAAAAGAGAAAAGACCTTTAAGCTATGAAGGTCTTAACGATGAAATACTGTTATTGTCCAYCTGAATAACTATCCAATTACAGATTTGCAAGTAACCTACAATAGTCCCTCTCTCTGTTTTTGCTTTGTTTGTGTTTTTTCAGCCAAAAATATCATTCTGGCTGGGGTAAAGGTATGTAAAACAGTTCTGTCATTGGKTATTCTTGGGTGAGCATGAGAAAAATACACAACACTACCATGTCATTAATCTGAAGTTTCTGAATCTGTTTTCCTGTATAAGGGTTGCAAAACATTTGGGAACCTAGGGGTGAAAACTTTCAATAATCTGGGTGCTCTAGTGATACAATCAATCTCATGGTAGTATCCACTGCACTCTGAAATAGCTCATAAAATACTTTAGCTAGCTGCTGATTGGATACTGAATCCTTTTGTATTAAGTGGYTTCTAAATGAAGTGGTCCAAACTCAAAAGCCAAACTATTCAAAATATGTTATCCTATTTTGTCATTCATTAGAATCTTTTTGTGTAGACATGAGAATGGTTGAGTGTTTTAATCCAGCAACTGCTTTTGTGTTGCTGGGATTAATTTTATTAGCAACAAGCCTTTTAAAACTCTTCTTTCCAATAGAAAAAAAACCAACAGATGAGTCCATTAATTTTCAGATCACAACTGCCCCAGTATCTCAGTCTGGCAAAAATCATCCTTGATATTTAAATGCTGTCTGTCATCACTGCAAACTGGGAGGAAAATCCTTAATGGAGTGCATGTTGCGGATGTATTTTGGTCTCTCAAACAGTTTTCTTGGGAAAGATGTTGGAAGAGCTTGTTCTTAAACATGCTACAACTAAATCTTCTGCAATGTTTGTCCTCCAACATTTTATGTGGGGTTTAGTTTTTTACTTTTGGGTATTGTGACCATGTATATATCCTCCAGCAAATGCTTTTTGACGAACTTTCTTAGGCTCTTACAGTTCACGACACCAAGCACTGCACAAAATGGGATTTGGGGATCAATTTCTTCATCCACGAAGATGATGTTACCAGCCAAAGGAACAGGTTAGTGATGTCTTGGAGTGAGTGGGGACTGAGCTTGACTAGGAGTAACAGTTTCATCAGCATCARAAATAGCAGTTGGTTGTCCAGGAGCTGGTAGTGCATATCAAATACCTGTTAAACTCTCTCTCTGGRGTTGCTGGCTGTGATTAGAGTGCCCAGGTAGATACTAGAGCAAATCTAGACTGGGATTGAGGTTTTGAGCCACAAGTATCACTGCTTGTAATGTGAATTTAACAGTTGGGGGGTCAGTGTGCATTTTTTCCKTGGTCTTTCTCAGCTGCCTGTACAAGACTGGACAACAGCCATGACATCAGGTCATCCATGAGTCCGGTGGTATATTGAACACACTGTTTTCCTCAGATCTGCTGGGAATTTCAGTGTGAATAAATGAATTGGTGACTATTTCCAGGAGACATTGAGTATGAAATTTTGTATTGAAAGTACAATTTTGTAGATATATGAAAAATTGAAGATTGCTGTTCTTTCAGGGCTGAGGCGACACTTCATCGTATTGCAGAACTCAATCCATATGTCCATGTAGCAGCATCAACTGTGCCACTAGATGAAACTACAGATCTGTCTTTCCTAAAGCACTACCAGGTATGTCACTCTCAARGCAGCTGTATGTGTATTTGTGTATTTTGCTCAGAGCAAACAACTTGCATTTTTTTATGTTAGTAAATATAATGAAGCACTTTGAAGCACSGAGAGAGATGATGTAAAGAAAAATACAGGTCTTGTATTTAGACTAATGAAACGTTGTGCTTAATTTTTTCAGGACCAAAACAGTGGTATTGTGTTCCTAGCACTTTCTTATGACACTTACTATGGACGTAGCCTGGGCAGGAAATAGCTAAGTGGGGTTGCTATAATTTTTTTTTTTTTTTTTTGAAGGTGGAATTGTGACCTTTCTTTGCAGCTACATAGCACATATATTCTACTTATATTCTCTGTGCTGTATTCCAGGTAGTAAAGCTCAGTCTATACAATTAGATCATATGTATGTAATGAAATATAAGTGCCTCTATGTAATGAAATGTAAGGGGAACCTTTATCAAGGTTCAGATTTCTGAATGTCCCAGCTACAACGGGCCATGTGTAACTGAATGAGATGCCATACCTATGCCTTGGACATTAAAAGAATGCTTGCAGAAATTTTATGTCTGCAATTTTATGAGCAGTCGAGCACTGGAAGCCTATGCAGACCTCTTGGTGTGCCCTGAGTATCATTTGCATTAATTTGCTAGCTTTAATMCTAAAATTCAAAATCTACGTTTTTGCTGAGATTATCCATAACTGTTTTGGTAGATATTCTAATTGGGTTTTGAATTTCACAGCTGCAGTTAAAAAAACAAAACAAACCCTTGAGGATTTTCTGTTCCTGCTCTTACTCATTTTGTTTCCAGAACTTGTGGAGTGGTAACCAGTGTCTTTTAATGAGAAAACTTCCTCAAAACTGCTTTCTCTTAAATGTGGGTGGTAGGAGTCAGGATACCTAAGTAACTTACTCTTAGTGCTAGCTTTTTCCGTAGCCTGAAGATACTGATTGCTTCCAGTGTCTTAGAAGGATTTCTSTTCTTGTTCACAGTGTGTCATATTGACTGAAGTAAGTCTGTTGCTGCAGAAGAAGATTAATGACTTCTGTCACGCTCAGCAGCCACCTATCAAGGTAATAGGAAATAAAGCACATGAATAATCTGTACAGTGAGAGTTCTGGACCTTCAGTGTGTTCTCTCCAAAAATGGAGAAAGCTGGTTATGAGGTATATAATTCAGTGCCAATGGCATATTGATGAAGCAGCAGGAATTTTGGGAATACAGTGCTGCTACTGGTATTATCTGGATACCAGCACAGGTAACCACAGCTTGGTCCTTAATTAAGAAACAATTGTGCTAAAGAACTAATTTTCACTGTTAACTCAAAATTGTTCTGAAAGAATGTGCTGAGACTGAAGGACATGCTGAGGCTGAATGTAGCAAAGTAGAAATGGCAGTAGTTCATTGTTTAGTGGTGGTGATCCTGTGTTGTGTACCAGCTCAGAAATGCTCCTGCAGGTTCGAGGTCTGTTGTCAGTGCTGCGCTATGTAGTCAGTGGCCTGACTAGACAACAGGTTTCCACTGTAGAATTAAACCTGCTGGCTTTCAGCAAGGTCCAGTGTGAGGCATTGATTCTCTGGCTTGTGCTGTTTCAGGGATACTCATGAGTTTTACTTTCTCTTGTAGTTCATCAGTGCAGATGTGTATGGAGTATGTTCACGTTTGTTTTGTGACTTTGGTGATGAATTTGAAGTGCTGGATACAACGGGAGAGGAACCAAAGGAGATCTTCATTTCAAATATAACACAAGTAAGGGATAAAAATCACTGTGTTGCTTTAACTGTTTTTCTGAGCCAATAATGAGTCATTTTAAAAGGAGGGTACCAGAGTGCTTCACTTGAGCAGCCTGCTAAGCAATTTGAAATTAGCAGTATTGGAGAAGCAAAGTTACTTTGGTTACTTTGTTCTTATTGATGCCTCCTGGTTTTTACTTATTATGTAACACGCAATACTGATTTTTTAAATTGGAGAAAGAAATTTGGATATGTAAAAAGAAGAGGACATAACTTTGGTGTGGGAATGGGATAAGTCTTCTAAGGAAGTGTGAAAATAGGCATGAAAAGAGCACTTTTTATGAGAAACTGCAGCACTTAGAGGCAGACTACTGGAATAATCAAGGGGAGCAAGAGCTTATTTTGGAAAGAAATTTAMGGGTTTGTTTTAACCTACCAAAGCAGAGGCAATGAGGAGAGGATATTATTGCTAGTACCTCCAGTGCAGAATGTTAGGATGTCAATTTAATCTTGTATTATTGTTTTATGAAGGGAAATTACTTTAGTTCCTTTTCCAGTTCTGGAAGAACAGACAGTAAGCTCCCTCATCCAGCAGCAAGTCTTTTGTCATATCTCCAGTCTAGATATAATAATAACCAATCTAGGAAGGGTTGTATAATAAGTTGGATTTGGTCTGTATTAAAGCTCATGACATGATGATTTCTGTTCTGTAGACTGTTCTTTGGTACCTTTAAAAGGGAATGGATGACTTCATTGTTCTCATTAATTGCATAAGGAGTACATAGCTGAGTTTCATGGCTTGTGTTGATTATCTGCCAAGTCAAGGAATGAATATATATTTCTATATATGTCCTGTGGATCATAATCTGATACTTGAGTTTAACTGTATCTTGTTTCCACTCTGAAGTGTAAGACTGAGAAATAAAACCCAATGCCATCAAGTGGCTGTTCTCATCCTGTAGACAGGGTCAAGGTGGCACTCTGTCCCTAAATCAGAAGAATTTTCTCTGGTCAACTCCTGTGCTATTGGTCATTGTCACAGAGAATGTGGTCCACTGTAATTAAATTTTGTGCTACTTAATTGAGTCTTTCAGGTACTCAGGAAGGGATGGCAGGAGACTTTACAGGCCAGGCTTCTTGCAATTCCACTATATGACAGTCTGAACTGGAGCACAAAATCTTGATGAGCTGTGTTCAGACTGCAGGAGGGTYTCTGTGTGCATGGCAGGTTGGCATCACATCCCATAACAGGATGAAATGTTGTCTGAGATTCCTGCACGGAATGATCTGCAGAGACTTTCCTGTGTCTTTCTGTGTATGCTGATGCCCAGTTTTGTAAGCTTCCTAACTTTCAAGAATGAGTTTGGATGTTCTTTCTAAGGATATCAGACAGAAAGGAAGCATGGAGTGATAAGGACCATTCAAAAGACTTTATTTTTTAATGTCTCTGAAAATTTCTTTGTGCATAGAGATTATTTTTGGTTTGGAAAAAGGAGATAAAYCTACTATWTCAAAACATAGCAATAGATTTGACTGCTGAGAACTGACAAATGCAGTTTGCTAATGTACTGAAAACTGGAAGCAGTAAAAAGGAGTAAGTTTGTATTGTAGAAATCCTATCAAATTTAAAATAGTAGGACTGAAGAAGTTGTMATGGGTAACTCTCTTGCTGTGGCAGAAATGAGGTGTTAAAAGTGTTAGAGGCTGCAGTTTCAGTAAGCACAAAGCCACGTGCCTACAATAAAATTTGATCCCTTTGCACAAGACACTTACCTCCTTGCTGACTGCCTTTTTTTTTTTCAGTCAAATCCTGGTATTGTCACTTGCCTTGAAAATCATCCACACAGGCTTGAAACAGGACAGTTCTTAACCTTTCGGGAAGTTAATGGAATGTCGTGCTTGAATGGATCCACACACCAAATAACAGGTAAACTGTTACTGACTCATTTGCAAGGTGCTTACTTTATGGCCTGATTTAGCCGCTGCAGTGTTAAATTACTGTAGCCACAAGAGTGCTGGATTATGCAGACCTCCAGTGAGCTTGCACAAAAAAAATTCATTTTTGGTGCAAAGGTCTTCCTAGTGTTGTCTTGATGCCATTTCCATTTATAAAGTCTTGCTGAAGTTAGCTTGCTGCTTAAGGAGTCAATGGAATTGCTCAGCTAAGTGGAATCTAGTTGGCAGCCTCTGAGCTGATCATCATTCCTCTGCTTCTGAAACTGGTTTGATTTTTGGAGAGTCCCATAATGCCTGTACTTCTGTCATGGTTTTGATGCCACTTTGTGTGTCACTGTTTGCCTTGTAGCTGTTTTGGGTGACARTTTAAGTGTACAGGGATGCATTGACATCATTCTGTTTCTAAGCATGCTTTTAAGGTGATTTTCATGTGTTATGTCTACCCTGCTYTGTTCTGCTTCATGCATGTCTCAAGACATACTACTTAGCTCCTTTTGAAYGCTGGGAAATTTCCCAGTTCCCAGATCGGAATGCCTGTTTGTTTGGAGCAGAAGGGAGAACAAGTGGTGGGAGTTGTTTGTTTTTAACTGTTCTGTGGTCTGAGACAAAAACTGGTACCCTTGAAACATGTGCTTGAATYGGTCTTCTCTGGGCCCTTGCATTTTGCTAGAGCTGATGCTGCAATCAGTTYTTTCCTCTTATTGATGGCTTCGCTTTTGGCTTCAGTTTCCCATGAATTAACAATTTTTCCGTCTTTTTGCCTTGTCTGAACGATGCTTCACATGTACAAGYAGGAGGATGTTTCAAAATGCTCCAGCTGCCCATTTTGAATGCCTGTAGCTCTCATCRCAGGGCTGAAATCCTTCTCTGAGCAGTAATACTGGACACAGCTATACACAGTCTAAATAAAACTAAGCATGATTTCATTTCTGTTACAGAGCTGTGGTCATCAGAATTCTTGTGAAATTTGCTGCCACTTAAAAAAGCTCATTTCATAACAGATCATGTGAAACTAATACTTTGTCCCTTTGCCAGTTTCTGGGTTAATCCTGTTAGGAGGATCAGCAGTGCTTGTGCTTTCAAAACAAGGTTGCCCACTGCAAAATTGCAGCACAAAAAGCACTGTCAAACCCACACTTGTTTGTATACAGAACTGTAGGATCCAATGACATTTTGAATTATCAGTTCACTGTTTATTCTCTTCTCTTTTCAGTKGTGTCACCTTATTCCTTCAGCATTGGTGACACCTCAGAGATGGAGCCCTACTTGCACGGAGGCATAGCTGTGCAAGTGAAGACGCCCAAGATGTGTTACTTTGTAAGTCTGCAGAACTGGTCTGACACTGGAAGCAGAGTTCAGCACATACATGTTTCTAGAATTATAGAATATCCTGTGTTGGAAGGGACCCACAAGGATCTAGGAGTCCAACTCTTGGCTCTGCACAGGACAGTCCCAAAAAYCACACYTGTTTAAAGATGAATCTTGCCTCTAGGATGTGAAACATCCCTCTGACCATTTTTGATAGACAGAACTTGCAGTAGATAMTTTATTTTTAACATCTATTGTTACATGAATAATGAAGAGGACAATCGCAATGCTAGTCAGAAAGGATATTTGTTTTTTAGTCTYTATAGGAAGAGTATTGTTTGTCAGGTAGCAGAGGCTATTGTGTTCTTAAGGAGTATGTTGTTGTCATGAATTCTATTTTTTAGGAACGGCTGGAGAAGCAGATAACAAATCCATTATGCCTTGTTGCAGATTTTAGCAAGCCTGAGGTAATCAGCATGTGKGGATTTGGGCATAAGTGCTCTAATATTAAAAATGCATGGATTTTAATCTGTAGCTCTRTGTTTAGAATAATATAATTTTTACTTTTTGCCCATAATGCTGAGCTTTATTATTGATGTTTGGTTAAATGCAATGCCTTATAATGTCTCATTAAAAGAAGATTACTACATTTYCCAATTTCAGCACTTAATTCTTTTGGGGACTCTTCAATTGGATTTAGTTAAAATGGGTRCTGTATGTCTCTGAAGGGCATTGCATTACTGAGCAATACTTTTTAAAAAAACATTATTAGGTATTTCAAAATCACTTTTTAATGCTATTTAAAAACTTTTTTGAGTGTTTTGCTTAAGGAAATGAAGTGGTAATAGAAGAGTTCAAATAATTGTGGTTTTTTTACTTAATTTTTCTCTAGTTGTAACTGATCAACAGCAATTGTTGTCTTAACAGGCACCTTTGCAGATCCATGTTGCCATGCTTGCCTTGAACCACTTCCAAGAGAACTTTGGTCGCCGACCAAACATCGGGTAAAGCAGAACCTTTTTTATTTGCTAAGCCTTGAATCAGAGAGATCTCTCCTTTTTGTGTAGTTGCTGGCTGGCTGTGCAGGATGGTACCTTTCCTGTCTTGTACCTGATAGACCACATAGAAATGAAAAGTTGGAAAATGTTATCTGATGTATATCTGGGTGTGTAATGAGGCTTTCCCAGTATWGCAGTGACATATTTTCACAATACAGCAATAACACTTTCTGGGCCCAGGTAGATAGAAAATACTTCTGGAAGAAGGCCTCCTCTGTTGTAGTTTTTTCACATYGTGGGATTGACATGGAAAAGTTGTTTCAGTGTTTCTAAATTATCTTGTAGTTCATGGATTTAAAAAAAATATTATCTGAATTATTTGGGTTTAATTTTCAGTGTTTTTTATTCAGCTATAGTTCTTGATATGCATAAATGAGTTAAATGAGACAAAAACACTTTAAAAGTATAAATCTAAAGACTGTACTTGCACATGGGTTTTTCCAGTGAGACTCCTGTTATTGAGCTAACCAYAACATTTAGAAGTACATCTTGAATGCTCACTGTTAATGTGAGTTTCCAAACTTCCTACTATATCCAATTGCTCTTTTCTTCCATTAATTGTGTTTCTAGAAAAACTCTGGAATGTTAAATTCATCATTATTGTTTCTACCCTGGTTTCTAGATGCCTTCAAGATGCTGAGGAAATGATGAAAATAGCCATGTCTATAAGTGAAACACTGGAAAACAAAGTGAGTAAGGAATCATTGTCATTATGAGTCACTTTTTTTTTTACTTTCCTAAGGGTCATGCTGGTCCTTATTCTGGTCTTTGAATCCATCTTTAGATGGATCAGCTGGCTTTTTGAAGGCTGTATAAGGAAAAAGAATGGTGTTTCAGCTTGGGTTTAACTGAATGCTCACTCTCATGAAGGCTGAATCCTGTGGGTGTGTGAATCCAGTTTTTAGACAAATGCATATGACAAATACAGGGTATATGGTGGACTGTCTTGGCTGGCAACTTTTTTGCTAGTCAGAGCGAAATAATTTGTTGGTCTTTTACTGAAGAATAATAATCTGTGAAACTCMAGCATTGACTTGCTCACTGAGGGGATAAACCTCTTACTATGTCTTACTTTTCAGCCTCAGGTGAATGGAGATATGGTGAAATGGCTGTCTAGGACTGCTCAGGGATTTCTACCTCCTCTGGCTGCAGCAGTGGGTGGTGTGGCTAGCCAGGAAGTCCTGAAAGCAGTAACAGGAAAATTTTCTCCATTGCAGCAGTGGGTAAGGTTGTCTTGGTTTTTGGATGGTTATTTTGGTATCTTATGTATGGATAGTTGCGTGTAAATGCTGTATATTCAAAATAACCTTAACAACTTCTATAACATGGAAATAAATAAAAAAGACTATATTTAGGAAAAAATAGTGGCTTCATTTTGTGCAATAAAAGTACAGCCAGTTTTAGTTAAAATTTTTGTATTGGGAGTTCAGACAGCACATTGTTTTTTCACCTAAGCAAAGAGAGCATTGGCTTGTCGCTGCATGGCTGCAAAGGTGTGATACAGTGCAGATGCCAGCTTAAGCTGCAGTACACAAGAGCAGTGCTTTCAAACTCTCAGGATAAATGTCAGAGTACAGTTAGATTAAAAAACTTCACAATCTTCACAGTTGCCTCTGGAGGGGTGTCAGAAGTCAAAAACTTGCAACTCACCTGTTTGARTGAGTGCTGTTTTCCCCTCTGTGTCCAAATGCTTTTTACTGTCCATTGAAATTGTGAAGTGAACTGTAGGGAACCARATGCTGTGTAGTCTTCCACTGAAGGTAAAAACTTAGTGCTTCTAAATTTCTGGACTCTGTTGTTCATACAAAATAGTTAGGTTTTTAAATTAAAATAACATGAATGTTTTTCATGGGATTTTATTGCATTGTTTCTTTTTTTTTTCCATTTTTTTACAGCTGTATATAGATGTGTTAGACATTGTAACACCTTTAGGGAAGATGGGCTCTGAGGAATTTCTTCCACGGTAAATAAAAGAGCAATCTGCTGGCTTATGTACTGTTCACATCTGAGTCTCAAGTAGGCACAGRTGTCTTTTAAGGTTAATTCAGTGCTATTTGCAGGGGATTATTAATAATATTTAAAATATTATTTTATAATATATATAAAATATTAATAATTATTAAAATTATTATTTCAGGGCAGGTTTGGGGTTAAGAATGTGTGTTGCATTTGAGCATGTGTTGAACAGGRATTATAGACTGAATTTCTTAGTTCATCTCAAAGTGCAGTTTGCATGAATGGTACTACCATGATAAATGGCATCTCGAAGTCTCCTGTTTTTGTCTCCTGTGYCTGCATAGGGGAGATAGATATGATGCCTTGAGGGCTTGTATTGGAGACTCTCTGTGCCAGAAACTCCATGATTTGAATGTTTTCTTGGTGAGTATGACTGACACTGTTACACTGTTTGCAAATGCTTTGTTGGTACTAAAATGTCCTCTGTCCTCAAAATAGGGAGGGCAGTTCTGATATGTGCCACTGCAGAATAAATGGTCCAAAACTGCAGTGAGTGCAATTGTCTTTGTGGTGCCCACTTGCATTTTTGATTGTACAAATGTAATTTTCTGTAGGTTGGCTGTGGAGCGATAGGCTGTGAAATGTTAAAAAACTTTGCACTTCTTGGTGTTGGTACTGGGCAAGACAAAGGATTGGTAAGTCAGCTGTTAATCTCACTTCTTATTAGAAGTAATATGACAAGGAAGATTTAATTAATTAGACTACTAAAAATGTTAAAAGGTTAAGTCTTATTGCAGGTTGATCTCTGCCCAGAAGGTRCAGTGGCCTTGGCATGGAAGTGTGTGCAATTAAAAGTAGAATATACTTGGAGCAGTCTTGCTGTATTTTGATTTTAAAACAAAATTTAGTTGGTCTGTGCAAGCAGAGATTTGGCCACAGTAAATGCCAGTAGCAGTGTTTTGTTTTGAGAAGTGTCTGTGATGGTTTCACCAAGATCATTGTTCAGTGTTACGCTTAGATTGTAACTTCAGCTGCTGCTTTTTCCCCTTCTGACTTAGGTTACAATTACAGATCCAGACTTGATAGAGAAATCTAACCTGAACAGGCAGTTTCTTTTTCGACCTCATCACATACAGGTAAGCTTTCTTACTCAGTGAATTTTCTGGACTATTGTGTTTCCCTGTCCTGTGTCCCCACAGAGAGCTGAACYTGTGAGTGTCTGTACTTCTGTCCAGAAAAGACTTAAAGGCTGTAATGAAATCAAAGGGGTTTTTTAAACAATGCCTAGGACTGTAATGGCATACAACTTATTACTGCTGTCAGTTGAGTAAAATTGGCATGTCTAATCTTAATTTGTACTGGTGTTTTTGACTAAGAAATCTCATTTTGAGATTGATGACTGGATTGAGTAGTGCTGTGTTTTTTAAGAGCCTGCCATGGGTTAATATATCAGAAATGCTCTACTATGCCACTGAAATTTGGGGGAAATKAAACAAAACMACAAAAAATAGACAGCTCAGTAGTRCTACTGCTGATGGAACTTGACCAAAATTGCCATCTTCTGACTTAACTCAATCTTCTCTAAGCTGGTAAATAGTTTTGAAARAGCTTAACATGTACATTCAGTAAATGCATGATACAGAAACTGTTAATTCCTTACAAACAGAGAGAACATCTCTGTATTTGCAAACACAGCACAAAATRGAAAAGGTGGCTTAGATCTTGACAGCAATGTGGAAAAAGGTTTCCCCAAAACCCAGTCATTGAATTTTCTGCCTCCTGTTTATGTGTAGCAAATATGGGAATGTAATGCACTTTGGATGGATAGATGTGTGGAAGGTGAACCTGCAAGCTTTTAGAAGCCACAGGCTGGAGTACTGATCCCTAGGTAATTGAAGTATGGCTAGAAGTGTTGGGTAGATCATGAACTCTATTTCAGTTTAGCTTCTGRAATTGGCTTGGTATGGAATACCTTGCAGTGATGTGATTGTTCACAGGTGCTTGATGTCTGTGCTGCAGAGTTACTAACGGCTTTATCCTCAGACAGTCATGAACTGCTCCCTTCTTTTGAAGAACCTCTTATGAGAGGCAGCACATTGCATCAGTTTCAGTTACTTAATAAACCATTTAAGCACTTCYACCAATAAAACTAAATATAAAACTAGATTAATAAGATATTTATCAGTGAGGGAGGTRTATTATTAAAAAAAAWKTGTTTATTGTATATTTTTYATASTAACATTTCTGTCAGTGAATTTCRTCTGATCAGCMAATGAAGTCGGTATTTCTGCACCCTAGATGCTCTTTACCTGCATATTACTGATCTCTGTATTTATACTTTCAGAAACCTAAGAGCTACACTGCAGCAGAAGCAACTCTGAACATCAATCCTTACATAAAGATTGACTCAGATATTAATAAAGTTTGTCCAGCCACTGAGAACACTTACAGCGATGAATTCTACACCAAGCAAGATGTGATTGTGACTGCTTTGGACAACGTTGAAGCCAGGAGATACATTGATAGGTAGGGGGTGGAAGGGAAGCAAGGGCTGCTTTTTGTGGGTGAAAACCACTTCTACTGCTGCATCAGAGAGCCTTGGAGTCAGTTCTTAAAAATGAATAACTGTTAACTTCTGATGAGGGGGTGTGTAGTCTGGCAGAGTTAAGGCTGAGTTTTTGAAGCATAAAAATGTGTTTAAATTTAAAAGTAGATATACTTACATTGAAAAATAATTTCTAATGCTCATAATTCTTACAGGCTGATGTTTATGGTATCCTGATCTAACTTGAATMGCTCTTACTTAATTTCTTCTTTTCCTGAGTTTTGTGTAACTCTCCACAAGAGAAGGCAAGAATGTAGTGATTGCTCTGTATTCTGATAGTCTGTGTCTTTCCATGTCAGTCGTTGTGTAGCAAACCTGCGTCCTCTTATAGACTCTGGAACTATGGGAACAAAAGGACACACAGAAGTGATTGTGCCCCATCTGACAGAGTCCTACAACAGTCATGTAAGTCTTTTAAGACCATTGCTCACCTTCTGTAGGTTGTCCCATAATGCTCTCTGATTCTTTGATCATCTATGTGTCTGTCTAAAATAAGTGGCCTATTTGAGCTGCTGAAGAACAGTACTGTTASGAAATAATTACCACCTTGGTTTCCAAAGAAAAGCTCACAGGAAATAAMATTTGAAGCTGTTCTTTAGAAGCATACATAACATAACAATTCTGTTTGAGTGGAGAAGGGGAAAATGAACTGTCAGAGCCGGCCATTTTGGGGGGGGTAGGGCGTGAGAAATGCACAACCACCAGAGATGATCAGCCTCACAAGCTAGCCCCATCAAGTCGTTAAGTGAACTTAACGACAGTTAGACAGTTAAGTTCACTTAACGAGTGGCTGTCTCGGAATTCCGAGTGGCTGTCTCGGAATTCCGGGACAAAAGATCTGTTGTAACTTTCGGCTCCAGCAAGCTACTGCTTGCAGTTGACAGCTGTTAGCAGCTTTTAGTTATACTGAGATCGGACAATTCCAGAGTATTCCACATGTCCTTTATCGCGTAGCCAGCTTTTAAGCAGGCTCACCACAATGAACCCTTAGGCTCTGTCCCTGATAGACACTATCTGCAGTATCCTTGTTTCAAGTTTTTGTGGAGAAATTCACTGGTTGAGAGCACCATGAAATGRTGCCATATGGACACAGAGACAGGATTTTGAGCATCCTAGTTGTCTTGCTGATGTCCATAAAGAAGTCTTTCTGCCCTTGAGTGAAAGGGTGTGTTTCATGTTGAGAATGTATGTGAATGCCAACTGCACATCTTGGAAAAGCTGGCTGGCAATTTCACCTGTTGTTTATGTTTCACAGTTCAGTTTTGCTTTGCAGTGTTGAGTTTAAACTATTTGTCATAAAGAGGAAGTGATAATGTTAATGTTCATAAAACCAATTCCTAAGCATRAAAAGCCACTTTGTGTAACAGCAGAGCTTTTGACTTGTATAGTCTAGAAATTCCCTGTGCCATTATTCGCAATTAATTTTATTAAGCCTACATTTACATGTAACTCTCCATAATTACAGCGGGATCCACCAGAGGAAGAAATACCTTTTTGTACCTTGAAGTCTTTCCCAGCTGCCATTGAGCATACAATACAGTGGGCAAGAGATAAGGTAATGGATTAACCTTTCTGGCATTCAGCWTAACTTAATGTCTATTTGGAAAGGTGGGGATCTGATATCCTTCTTGCAGAATACCATATATCTTCTTTTTATTTTACAGTTTGAAAGTTCGTTTTCTCACAAGCCTTCCTTGTTTAACAAATTCTGGCAAACCTATCCATCRGCAGAAGAAGTTTTACAGGTAAAAATGGATTTTGTTTCTATTTAAGGTCAGTGAGATTAGGATTAGTATCTGACTTTTTTCAGGAAAYCTGAAGACTTACTTGGCCAAGTCATTAGTTGATCATATGAACAGTATTTCTGATATGTCTCATAATTAAAACCTTCTTTAGCTCATGTGCTCTGTACATGATGTAGAAATGTTAGACTGAGACTCTGCTGATGTGTGACTAGTGTGTATCACACTGATGTGTAACTAGATGGGAAAAGTTAAGACTGAATTTGAAGTGAATTTAAATATGTAATAAATTAGATTGAAATCGTTTACCATCTTTTCTTGTGAGTCTATAATGGCTTGTGGTCCAAAGGGCTGGTGGAAGTAAGTGGAGAAAAAAAAGCCAGTGGAGAGGACCACACAGAAAATATTTCTGTAGGAAATATATTCCTATTATTCTAAAGGATAATATTTCAAGAAGTGAGCCTCTTGCCTATGGAGTACTAAAAACACATTTACTGTTTGACTGGATTTGAAGGAATCTTGTCTGTTTTAACACTTTCATGTTTCTTTATCTAGAGAATAAAATCAGGAGAGAGCTTGGAAGGCTGTTTTCAYGTTGTTAAAACTCTCAGTAGAAGACCCCGAAGTTGGACTCAATGTGTAGAACTAGCAAGAGTAAAATTTGAAAAATATTTTAGCCATAAGGTAGGTAAGACSTGTAAATGAGGTGGCAGTAGACTAATGAGGATTTTAGAAAACTTGATGTCCCTCATAACTAGGCATCTAAGTCTTTGTATTAATTTATGTCATAAATAAGGAACTGTATTTGAAACTTWAAAATACTGCATCCCTTTTTACTGTAGCACTTCTAGGTCTGGTTTATTAACTTACTCTTAGTATTCTGTCCAGTAGTCTCCATGCAGTTGTCTTGGCATTTTYCCAATGTTTTTCCAAAGTAGAGGATTATCAGATGTCTGTTATTAGGCAGTGGGTTTTTGTTTCCCACACTAAACTCCCGTTACTGAACTCACCTCTGTAACTCTGATTTTCTGAAAGATTTTCTGAAATAATAGGCAGTCATTCTGACAATCTGGTCCACAGTGTTGCTTGAAGTACATGTGTAATTTTGTAGGAAAGATGGGATTGGGATGTTGTGGATTAATAAACATACCTGTGCATACAGAATCTTCGGTGGTAGTTGTCACATTGAGAAAATACTGCATTTCCAATTGTTAATCCATATGCAAGAATCCTAAAGTGACAATGAGGTGGGGCAGAATGCTTTGTGTCTTGGATTAAATGTCTTGCATGAGCTTTGTACAGATGAGGTGACATTGTCATGTTTTTATGAATGAAATGGACAAGTCACTCTGTCTTGTGGTACTTGTCTTTAAGCTGTCTGTCATGACAAAGTTGTTTCATGATYTTAATAACTCTTTAAATTACTTCAGCTAAGAAGGCTTGATTTAGTGTGGTCATGTCAATCTATATGCCAAATTACTAAAGYTACTCTGGCTTTTCCTCTAGGCTCTTCAGCTCCTTCATTCATTTCCCCTTGACACACGATTAAAAGATGGAAGTAAGTACAAATGGCCCTTTATGCCTGTTGTGAGTTCATGGCATATGCCATGTGYTGCTATTCCTGATTCCTTAGGATTTCATCTTAGTCTGTCTTCCTACCAGGTTTGTTTTGGCAGTCACCAAAGAGGCCTCCTTTCCCAGTGAAGTTTGAATTTCATGATCCTTTGTAAGTATGGTACATAACGCATACAGATGCATTGTATAGCATCCTGTAAAACTCACAGCGCGAAGTGCAAGGCAGTGGCTTTATAGCCCTGGAAGCTGGATTGGTATAGATAGGTGCTAGTGCACAGTCTTACCTTGTGGCAGATTTGGTGAGCTGTCAAAYACTTTCACTGCAGATAATTTAACTTTCACTGACATGGGATTGGAGGGTGCTGTGGGAAGTTCTGACAACATCTWATGTGAAATGGCCTAGAACAACCCGTTTCATGTCTTACATGTCTACAGAATTACCGAGTTGTAGTTGTCATACCTCCCTACCCCACTGTCCACATCATGAAATGCAGGATGTGTTTGTCTTGGTTTGAAAGRCAGGTGTTTGCCCATGAAGGCAGGRMCCCCCCTTGGAGTGGGGGGTGGATATGACCCCCCTTCCCTCCGAATTATTGTAGCTTTGAAAATCACGGGCTTTCAGGCAAGAATTGGGGTAAAAGGGAATAACAGTTTTTACTAATATGTATAATAAGGTGAAACAAGTAACAATAACAATAGCAACAACCGGCCCAGTCCCAAACTCAGTGACAGCCTCACACAGAGACACAGCCTCCCCTTTGGTGCAGTTACAGTCCCAGCCGGCAGGGGCGCTGTTGGCTCCTGGCTGGGCAGGGCGGGTGCAATGATTCCCCGTTGGCTGCAGGGGGCGCTGTGGCTGGCTCAGAGCTCCCACGTGGCCAATGGACGAGCAGAATCCCGCGGCAGCAGATGGGATGCAGCAGAACTCAACCACTGCAGCTGGAATCTCAGGGGTCCCGGCAAGGCACAGGGGAGAAGATCACAGTGCAAACAGGAACCAACGACTGGAGATGCTGGATTCTGCAGCAGCAGGTCCACTCTCTTCCTCCGAGCCAAGCAGGGCAGGAAGTGAAGCTACCTTCCCCCCCACACACACACATGTGCTCCCCGAGGTCAAAACTCCCGAGGTCAAAACTCCCAGAACGTCCCTCTCTCCAAAGACCAGAAAAAAAAAAAACCTACCAGGCAGAAGTGCTCAGGGAGACTCTTGGGTGGGGCTAGGTTCTTTTGTGTTCCCCAATTACCCAGCCATCAAAAGGATGTCTTGGGAATTAGTGTATCCCAGCAACAAAATGGGAAAGGAAAATTCCCCAAGAAAGGAAACAATAGGAGAAACCTCAACCCATAACAGTGTCCTTGACTACCTAAAATGACCTGTGGAGGTACTAATTTTCTTGTTCATGGCAATTTGAGCGAGGTGACTTGGATATTACAGATAATTTAAAAATTGATGTGGTTGACGGATTAAAAAGCTTTTATCTGCTGTTTATCTACAATTACTTTGAGAAAGTGGATCACCATTTTTAGTTTGAGTGAAAACTGAGGTCATGGTAAATATTAAAGTAATTCTGAGATTAAGCTTTTTATCATATTGATGTCATGTGAGCGTTTGTAGTTGTTTGCTTAACTACAGAGGTTAAGGAAATAGAGTTTTCACTAAATAATTTCACTCATCAAAATTTGCTTAGTTTTGGGGACAACTTTTGAGTCACTCAAAATGTGCTATCTATTTTGTACTGTGTGCACTGAAGGATGGAAATTCTGTTTCTCAGTATGTTTGTTCAAGATCTTGAACATGATTGCAAACCTTTGGGCAACTGAGGTAGAAAAACCAACCAATCAAAAATGATTCTCTTTTCTTTAGGCATTATGGTTTCATTGTGAGCGCAGCAAAACTCTTCGCAACAGTGTACTGTGTTCCTTTCACAGAAAAGGTAATCTAGACTGTTTTACTGTGTTCCCAACAATTAACTTGGTATTCAGTTTTGGCCTGATGTCCCTGCTGCCAGTTCTTTTCAAGAACTGATTGAAGTGATTTTGAAAGTAATCTATCCTTGAGCACTGGCTGTTTGGCAGCTGCTTACAGTTATTTTTCCTTATTTAAATTCTTAACTTGGAGAAGAAATGAGCAGTGTTTTGGATATTTTCAGTAAGCACTGAACTGGGATATTATTATTTTGATAATAATTTATTATTATTTCCTGTGCAATGTAACTACTGAACTCAAAGAAATTCTATTGAAGACATTTTTTTTTAAATTAAGTGTCTTAGCTGTGTCATGGCTGCTTTACTTTCTACTGCTTACAGCTTTTCCATTGCTTACCCTTTGTTTTTTTCYTGTTTCTTTTGTAATTGGACCTTCCTGTAAGTCAGGTTTGCACTTCTGTTCAGTTTTCAAGTGCTGGTACTTCACACTGCTCTGGTTTGTTGTGGTAACTGAATTGTCACTTGGTGTTTTAATGATGATGTTTGGCTGAAATGTCACTGAATATCTGAGAGACTTTTCGGGTCTAGTATTCTTTGACATGCTATTCGCTATACAATCTTTTTGTTGGGGCCTTTTTAAGTTCATGTGAATTTCAATTGTTTTCTTCTAAACCATAACAGGACTTGTCAGAGGAAACTATTTTGGGGATTATTTCATCTGTGAAAGTTCCAGACTTTAGACCTTCAAACAAAGTAAGTGTGACTCTTAATTTAAAGAAAAAATCAAAATATTCCAGAAGCAGTGTCCCACATCTCCAACTACTTGCACTGATGCTAATGAGAAATAAGCACAAATTAAAATGTGTTTTGGGGAAATAAAAGTGTGACATACAGGACTGCTTTAACTTAGTACAGCTGTGGTATCTGTGTACTAWATGCTAAATGGAAAATGGTGTGGAGGGTTACCTTTTTTCAAATTACTTGTTTTAGCATTGTTCTGCATGCATGAATGTAATTCTGCAAGGTTTTTTTTATATTTACATGAATATACTATTTTAATAAAAGTAGTAAAATTCTACTCATAAGCAACTTCAAAGTAATTCAAGACTAGTGTCAATTTCATTTCTTTGTAGTTAATATAAAAGAAGTGTCATTCATTTTTGTTTATTTTTGAAGTGTTGACTTCAAAACAGCTTAAGCATTATTGTGCTTGAGGCTAACATTTTTCATAATTTAAAAGTAGCAAATACTCCAAGGTGTTTTCATGTTTTCTTGYCCAGTGTTAATACTTGTCTCATGAACGCTTGCTTTGTGAGAACAAACTGGTGTTTTGACTTGGAATCACGGATTGGTTGGGGTATTTTTGTTTGGTGGGGCTTTTTTCCTTTAAGGTATTTTTGCATATTCCCATTTGCAGGGAATTTTATGTGCTTCCGTTTGTTCCCATATCCCCTTGTCCTGTCACTGGGCACTGCTGAAAAGGGTTTGTTTGTGCTCCCTGTACTGTACAAGAGTTTGTTTGTACTACCTTCCCATCAGATATTTGTGAATAAGATCCCACTGACCCTTCTCAAACCTGAACMRTTCCAGCTCTCTCAGCTGTATGAGAGATGCTCCAGTCCTTTAATTCTCCCTTGATTCAGTAAATCCATGTCTCTCTGAACTGTGGAGGAAAGCTGCAGGGAAGAYAGGAAATTTAATACACTTGAACTTGTGCTGTATGAAGTTCATGTATTTTATTACTCAAGCACTGYACACACTTGCAGGTTGTACAGACTGATGAAACTGCAAGAAAACCAGATCATATTCCAGTCAGCAGTGAGGATGAAAGAAACGCTATTTTCCAGCTGGAGAAATCCATAYTATCCAATGAAGCTCTGGAAAGTGAGTACTGCAAAACAACTTCATAGTTTAGTAATATCCTGCATTTGCATTGCCACTAGTGACATTCAGGTCTTTGCACGAAGCAGTTCTGTAACTCTGCAAGGAATAGAGCTGATAAAASCTTGCTGAAGTGCCTTGCAGTTATCTGTCCTGTTGCCTGACATTACCCTATGCTTCTGTATTTCTGAGATTCATGGGAGTTTTAGGGCTCTCGGTTATGCTTTTGTGTAATTACAGCACTGATAACAGCGAGCAGGCAGCAGCAGGGAATGGAACGCTTAAGGAGGGAAAGGGTGCTGGCTAGATCCCGGAGACTGGATGCAATTTGGGTATGAGAGGGCTGAGAGTCACCACTTACAGCTATCAATCTGAAATGATCCTAAATGGTAAAGAATTTAAAAAGTCTTCCTCAGCATCTTCTASATGTTAAAATGAGGTTACTTGGATCCCATTTTTGTACTTGGCCACATGAGGAGGTCATTGGGTTGCAACTACATGCAAGCTTTTTTAGCCCATGAACACAGGAGAAAGACTGGCTTATCTATAAGTCATCCCATCAAGTGTCAACCCAGAACTCTGACTCTGGTGCTACTGAGTCCATAGTAAAATTGTTGCAGATAAAAAAAAACTAAGCCTAAAAAGGGAATTCTCACAGGATGGAGTTATAGTGAGATGGAGTATATGAGAACATCCATAGGAATGTTCAAAATCTATTCCTGGTGGTGCAAGGAAAGTAAAATTGCAGAGCTGTGTTGATGTTTATTTCATTATTCACTTTTAACAAGTGATATTGAGAGGGGCATTTGTGCTTCTAGCATAAGAAAACAAGTAAGGCACCAAGCTCCAGGATGTGAAATCTTTTAACTTGTTAAGATTCTAGTTTCTGTAAGTTATGTTTAGGACATCTTCAGTTTTCTAATAATAAGTTTTGCTCTTTTCTTTTCTTTCTTGTGAGCAGCTGACTTGCAAATGAAGCCTATCTCCTTTGAGAAAGATGATGATAGTAATGGGCATATAGATTTCATAACAGCAGCGTCCAACCTGCGAGCCAAGATGTACAACATCGACCCAGCAGATCGGTTCAAAACAAAGCGCATTGCTGGAAAGATTATTCCTGCCATTGCAACAGCTACTGCTGCAGTTTCAGGGCTGGTGAGATTGATTTTTAAAATGCATTTCTTTCTCTAACTGTTTCTTGCCTTAAACTGATGTTTTCTGGGTATTGATTGCTGCTACTCTGATAGAGGGTCATTTAAAGAAATGAATTTATTTCTTATGTACCAGTAGAAAAGGTCATGCTTGCTTCTAGATGTGGTTGTTGAGGAATACATGTAGTGCAGGTAGCTCAGTGCAGAGTATAGTGCCAGCTGAAGACTGACATCTGGGTGGGAGCCTCAGGCAGGGGATCACGAGCTGATGCTGACCCTTGGCACAGCAAAGGGCACGGGGACCTGTGGCCCAGCCCGGTGACCGACACTCAGAGACACAGCAGGAGCTGAGAACTCAGCTGGAATACTCTGCACTGTGGAGCACACAGACTGTGAGRGTACAAAGGCCCAGGTAGTCCTTTGTTCAGGGCCCCTTCTCCAAGATACCAGCTTGACTTGTTGCTCTGTTGCTACACCATGATAAAATYACTTAAAGGAACCTAAGGTCTGAGACTCTGCTATGGGAAGCCCAGGGTTGAGCCAGCAAGGAAACCTTGTCTGACTGTGAGTGGGATTAGTAGCGGGGCACCCATTGAGAAGCTGCCCATTWTAAAGGGGGTTCAGTCCCTGCAGTGGAAGTCTTTAGTGGTGGGAGTGTGGCTGCTRGAGTGGCTCCTGAATGGTCAAAAAGGGAAGTTTCCTTAACATGGTGAACCTTTGGTGCTTTTGTTTTTGAATTGCTGAACAGAAAGATGATTTGGAATGCAGCATTTTGATTTGTTTTCTGCCATTAATACTAACTTCCCTCAGAATGCCACTGCCACGAGTGGATAGGATCTGTTCTGTAGTAGTTCACATTCATGCATCTCAACAGAACCTCATGCTTTGTGGAGGTTTCATGAACCAAACAATTTTGGATGAGTCCTACATTAAGAGCACTTTTGAATGGTTTAAGTATTTCCCTTGGAAGCAACAGACTTTTTTTTTTTCTGTGGCACAGTGGGCTGCATTTCCAGATATTATTTACTCTGCTGATTGGATAAAGGCTGATCTCATTAACAACTTTCTCTTGTTCTCTTGCTGGCCTCTTAATTACACTACAGTTGATAACTCAGTACTAAAACGTAATAAGTAAATTCTAATTTACTGCAGGTTGCACTGGAACTCATCAAAGTTGTGGGTGGCTACCCAGCTGATGCRTACAAGAACTGTTTTCTGAACCTAGCCATTCCCATAATGGTCTTTACAGAAATTGCTGAAGTAAGAAGAACGGAAATCAGGTAGGAAAGACAATGGCAGAAGGGCAAGGACAATATTTGGAAACCTACTAATTGATGTTTAGAACTTGCTGAGCCATTACAAGTGTGAAGTTTGAATAGTTAGTAATAGTTACCCAGACAAGCAGATTAAGGCCTTGTGTACTCACAGAACCACAGTTCATGGCCATACTCCAGTTAAGCATTCTAGATACTCAAGGTTATTTTTTTGTTTTTGTTCTTGAAAGATGATGCTTTATGCTTGCTATCAAATTCTGTTATCCACTTACTGTGTTCGGCTAGAGATGTAGCTCTTAATGATGTGATCTTAATACTGCGAAGGGTGTCCCGTAATGCATTGCCCAAGAACTGCCTGTTTGGAAAATGCAGCCCATATTCATCTGTACTAATCTAAAAAATAGTGGTTTTAAAGGCTTAGATCTGTTTGCAATGGAAGTTGTTGTGACGCTTTAAAAATCTAGACAAGATAGATATGTGGTATTGTTCTTAGGAAACATCCTGCACACACTTTTGCATCTTGTTCAATATGAGAGCTGCTTTTCAGTAGGTCTGAAAACTCAGTAACTTCATTGTCAGATACCACATTTATTTAGGGGTCTTGGGCTCAGCAAGATCAGAGGGCTGGAGAAATGGCAGCAGAGAGGGAAGGGATTTTTACTCAGGATTAAACAGCACATCGCTAAGAAGATGTGACAGTTCTTCAATATGCTTTTAAAGGAAATTCTTGAGTTCACATTGAAAAGTGATAACCTTTCACTTCTTAAAACAGAAATGGGATATCATTTACCATCTGGGACAGGTGGACAATTTATGGGAAAGAGGATTTTACTCTCTTGGACTTCATAAATGCTGTCAGAGTAAGTTATCTACTGTCCTGGGTTAATACAAGACAAGAGGAAAGTCTTGTTTTGGGTCGTTCAATTGCATTTTGTTTTTTATTTTCATCAAGTTGCTGTTCAAACCAGAATAACTTCAGTAATAACTAATGTCAGTGGGGATGTCTCTAAGTTAAGGCAACCAAACCTGTTCTCAAATTCTTTGTTAATTCAGTTGGCTCAAATGTATCTTAATAAAACTTCTGTCAGTGCCCATGCACTGGCAGATTTTCTGGTTTGGTCCTATGGATTTGAATAGTTAGCTGTAGTATTAGCAGCAGTACTATCTGCTGGTTTGGATAGCTGTTCTAGCCTTTTAATAAGTTTTGATTTGTGAATTCCAGGAAAAATACGGAATTGAACCAACTATGGTTGTACAAGGAGTCAAAATGCTTTATGTTCCTGTGATGCCAGGCCATATTAAAAGATTAAAGTTGACGTAAGTAATAACTGGAAAAAGGATTTATGGATGCAAGTGCACATGCAAATTATGTTCATTGGTTGTATCAAAGGACAATGTCTGACAGCAGTGTTTTCTCTCAAAAGTGGTTTCTAGTCATTAATATTTTGGAAAGAAAAAAGATAATGTCTTTATTTTGTGAAAAAAGAAAGTGAATTAACTGTGATGAGGAAAGGAGACTTGAAAAATGCTGCTTTACTGTTGAATACCAGAATGAGAAAGCTAAAGAAGTCTGACAGTAATTTTTTGAGGGGAAAGCATGTACCATGGTTCAAGCAGAACAAGACTACTAGAATCTTTTGAAGCTGRCTTAAAACTAATGCTGATATTTGCAACTTGGCTATGAAGGAGTTAATGTATTGCTTGCAGTTTAAGATTTCTAAAAGTCTATTCAGTTATAGTAATTGCTTTAAATTCGACATCACTTTAGCCTCTTTAAAATGATGGCACTCTCTAAGCTTTGAAATGTCAGTCTGGAAATTGAGGTACTTCACACTGGCAGTTTGGCAGCATGTGAAGGCAGGGCATTGGGTTTTGATTGAAGGCATTTGCAAAATAACAGGCAGATCTCACCCAGGTTTAGTTCAGCCTTAACAGCCGTTTGATTGAACTACTTAAGCTCAAAATCTGCTCCTTATAGCTCTTGTGAAGTGTGTGCTGGTCAGTGCTTACAGGCTTTGCTGCAGCAGGTGGGTGCTCTGATCAGTACTGTTTTGAAGGCCTGCCAGTAGGTAATATCAGGGAAAGTAGTATGAGCAAGCTACTTCAAACTCCCAGGAAGACAAGCACCTGTAAGCTGTAGAGTACCTGGTGTATTAAGATGAGAATTTACAGCCTGCCTCCAAAAAGTTGCTTATATGCTTTCTCTTAAACCTGTATAAATAATTTTGAATGAGTGGGGTATGTAGTGAATACAAAATTATGGTATGAAGCTGCCTTGTGAATGTCAGGATTTCTTTCTACTCTGAGACTCAAGTCAAGGTTGTCATGGAGTAACAGTGGCTTGGGGCTCTGTTACAAACAGTCCCAAAAGCTTCAYAGGAWATTTGTACAGCAAACTCTGGTCTTRCTCATGTGTTTGTTTTTCTTAAGGTGTTTAAAATCTTGCTGTAATATAAAAAATATTATCAGACTCCTTTATTTCAGAATTGCAGCATTTACTAATGGCATACTCCTTAAAAGCAAGGACTATTAGCTTGAGACCTCCTCATACAAATGAAAATTGTGTRTCTCTACTGAGAAGAAACTAATTCTTACTGTTCTTGTTAGGAAACAAGCATTTTGGGGAAAGCAGCTTTTTGACCTGCACACTAAAGCATAGCCAGAACGGAAACCTTTCTCTAGGTGGCCTGTGAGGAACAGAAGTGACTGACTCTATTCCCCCAGCCTCCTAGCATTTGAGCTGGCCTCCTGAACTATTTTTCCAAGTTAGCAAGAAAACAACTTTGAATCATCCACAGATAATGTGATGAAAGTGATGTTGGCTGTTCTGTGTACAACTTGCAAGCACTAGCTGCAGCTTTTGAGAGTGCAGAGGGCAAAGAGGGGAACCTGCAGTACCAGTTGACATACTCAGTCAAATGAGGGTATTTAAACTCCCATTGTCAGGAAAAAAGAAGTCCCAGATCTTGGCTGGGTTTTCCCCCATCATCTCTATTCACCTTTGAAATTCAAGGACTTAGCATGTTAASCTCAATAGAATTACTTAACATCAGAACTTAAAATCTACTGTCTGCACTGGAATGGTTCTTCCTATAGTGCATTATGACTGGTGTTTATTGGTAGATAGAGAAATTACTCCTCTTCAACGACCCAAATCCTACACAGAAAGCTAACTTTGCCTTGTGTCCCTGAGGAARCCCATCCTAAACTGACCATGTGCTCTTCTCTTTTGTACTGAGCACTTGTGGGTGAACGATGTAACAGCTCACTAATGGGCTGTGTCTGTCAGGAAAATGGGATATCGTTTGCTGAAGCTCAGGTAGAGGAACAGTTTTGGGTGTTAAAATTTARAGGTAGCTTGTTCTCCATTTTACTTTGGTCTGTAGTAGGTTGAGTCAGTGTTTATTGCTAGCAGTGAAACTCATCCTAGTCTGGCTGTGAATTCCCACTCCCAATCCTCCTGGTATGTTTAGAAACTGTTTTTCATTTCTTTATAGGATGCAAAAGCTTGTGAAACCATCAGCCGATAAAAAGTACGTGGATTTGACAGTATCATTTGCTCCAGAGACCGATGGAGAGGAAGACTTGCCAGGACCACCAGTGAGATACTACTTTGTTCAGGAAGACAATTGATGGTAGAGACACAGAAGTCACTCATGGACCATTTGTTCTCAAAGGAGTGTGCTAATTTTCAGCTATTAAAGATGGTACTATATATTTCTTTTTTGTGAAGCCTTAATTAAATGGTGAAAATCAGTGGCTTTGCACTGAAGACAAACTGGATTTATGGATTTATGTTTCTTCTGCTCCTGTATTCTTCAAGCGTGTTCGCTCAGAGGAGGATTGGTCACTCCATGAGATGGAATGCCCAGTACAGTCCTTSCCCTAAAGACAAGATTTGTGTTGAGGAAAGCAAGAAGAATGATGAACCYAAGAAATTCTCCCCAAGTGCAAATTAGGCACTGCTTAGGGAAGAGTGCAAAAAATGGGAAAASCACCATTTTATGATACTCCTGGTGTTCTAAGAACATCTCATATTCATTTCATATGTTAYTTAAACAAGAATTTCATTCTTGACATCTACACATGAGATTTAATCCGAGAGGCTTAAACTCACACTTAAAAGCAGAGGAACTGTTTTCTTGTGTGCCTGGTTARTGGTGCCATGGTCTGAGCAGCTGTCTGGTGTCAGTCTCAACATGGAAAAATAGGGAGTGGGTGTAAATTGKCAAAACTTCCCTGAAGTCCAGAGAGCTGGAATTGTCGATTATCTGCACTAAGACTGTTCTTTGTGGAATACTGCAGTATGGGGAAGGTGAAAACCTGTCAGAGAGCTGAATTAGCACTTTGAACAATAAAACTTCATCTTCAACAAAGAGAAAATGTGTTTGAGCCTTTCTGCCCTCACCAAATTTAAATCACTCTAGTGCTTGATGGCTTTAAAAGAGGAAAAGGCAAATGCCTTGGGATGTTTGTCATGGCAAACTGTTTCCTCACTTGCTCCTTTTGGTACCATYTCCTTACAGCATGTGGTTGTGCTGTACACTTGTCCTCAGCACAAGTCTGAGCTGCACTGAACAGTGAGGTTTTTATCTTCAGCCTTCAGTAACCTTCAGTTACTGGAATAAATAAGTATAAAGAATCTGTTTAATTGGAAATTATTAGAGACTACCTTTGCTGCTGTGGTGAGGCAGAGGCRTGTAACAGAAATGTCATCATTTAACTTTATAATTTAAGAGTTGGGTACTTGAACTGGTAGTTCTTTGTTTCTCCCCATCATGGTAGTGCACAGCAAGGTTAGAATAAAAACCAATAAACTGAAAAAGCTTTTCATGTCTTTAAGCTTTAGAGATTGTTATAGCACGTGATCTCCTGCAGCTGTTGCAAAAGCTATTAACAACTTAGCTGTTTATCCTCGATCAAAATTTATTAAGCTTTAGGGATGTCTTCACATTTAATGAACACTATTGGTGAGGAGTTTTACCTCTCTTGTTTTTCCTTCTCAGGTAGTTGTAGTCAGGRGTAACAGATATTAGGTTGGGAACCTGTACACCAAGATGTATGGAACTGAGTAGCTGGATTATTTCAATATTTTGGATTCAGTCTGATGTGCAGGATGCCTTCTGGAAGGTGTATATGGTTTTGTATATAGTTTGGTTTAAGATACAAKTTTCTAGATTAATAATACTGCTTTTTAAACTGCCTAACTTATTTTTTTAAGAATTTATTTTAGAGAAACTTTTTGAAATAGGAGGAGTTGGTGACATTTACCGTGCAGAAGAGGCACAAGCAGACAATAAGTTTCCGCTTCTAATTAACAACTAAAATGTCTTTCACTGTGGCAATATTAGAATCTGAACTCTTAACTGATGTCACTAATTTTAGTGTTAAGGGTCACTTAAAGGTTTAGGTCAAATTGAAAATATTGTCACCTCTCACAGCTTAAGTGAGAACAAAACTTTTTTCCACGTCTCATAGCTGGGAAGCGAAACTTTGATAAGAGTACTCTGGTACTTTAGTGTGGTGTTGACATCATGCTTATGCTTTTGAAATTAGCAGCGTTTCAAAATAGTAAAGTACTATTCTAGCATGCCATATGAGTGTCCTCAGGGTTTAAAGTAAACTGTCAGATATAATTCATGCAATGACTTTTATTAATGACAACACAAACACCTTTGAGAGCCTTGTAAAAAGTCCTGGTCAAGGCTGGCAAGGGTCACAGCCAGAATTTACAGACAGGGCTGTATCTCTATGCTGCTCTTACTGTGTGTGTCTCTTGGATGAATGCATGTTCTGTGGATGGGTGCTGCTCAGTTAAAAAGTTGGTTATGGAAAATCTGAAAATTCACAGTGGCTCTAGATATTTATTAGCACACTTTAAAAAAAAAATTTTGGACATAATTTACTCTTTGTAAAATCTCACAACTAGTAAATTCAGGAGGATTTTCTGTAGAAGCACTCAGCATGTCAAGTGGTTCATTGAAACTGTTCTTTGTGTTTTAAACCTTTTTGAATTACTGATATGGAGAGTGCATGTGTTTATATTGAAGATTGTGCAGTGGAGTGTGCTGATTCAGTGTGAATTTGTGTTTAATAGAGCCTCTTTCTCAATCTGTTCTTACTTTTTATCAAAAGACTGTGCAGGTGCTCAGCATGACCACACTAAAAAGGTTCTGTCAACCTGGGCAAAGTGAATTTTGGCATGCTGATCCTCCAAATCTCCCATTTTGTCACCATCAGTGCTACCAAGCTAGAGGCTT